GCCAAGGACTAACAACTCTGGTCTTTACCAGCTCTAAATTTAGAAACAACCTAATAAGTGAGTTATCCTAACTTGTAGATAGGAGTTGCACACATGATGAAGAATTGCTACTCAGCCTAAAAAATCTGGAATTAGTATGAAACCCAGTGAAATGATGTTTTTCATGGTTTTGATCATTAATTTATTGTAAAAAATATTTTCTTCATTATATTATTATAAAAAATATTTTTTTCATTATGTTTGTTTAATAAAAAGTATTTTTTTCATTATATCATATTATTATAAAGAAAAAAAAAAATATTTTTAAAGAAAAGATTTTTCGGTTCATCAGTTTTTCAAAATAATTTTTTTCATTCACATTTGTTTTTTAAGGCAAAATTATATTAAATTTCTTCTTATATTTTATACAAATTCACTATATTATGTTGTTTTATTTTTTCTTAAAATTTATAGAAGTTCACTCTATTATGTTGTTTTATTTCTTCTTAAAATTTATAGAAATTCACTCTATTATGTTGTTTTATTTCTTCTTAAAATTTATAGAAATTCACTTTACTATGTTGTTTTATTTGATGAGGTATTTACAAAGTAACTCAAAATTATCAAATTTTAGATATTATTGTTAAAACACAGGTTAATATATACATGTGATATCTTAACTCAGTTTTACTAGGCCCCTTTTCTGTATAAACTAAAACATTTTAATAGAGAAATAGAATTACTGGACTTATCATAAATGATCCAATTTTCTATTGAATAGGCTAATGCAATAAAAAAATTTTCAAAGAGTTTTCGATAATAAGTGTGAATTCATTATGGAATTCATTATCACACTCATTATGGAAATAATGGTTGACATAGTTTTATTGTAATTTACATGTGATATTTTAACTCAGTTTTACTAGGCCCCTTTTCTGTATACACTAAAACATTTTAATAGAGAAATAGAATTACTGGACTTATCATAAATGATCCAATTTTCTATTGAATAGGCTAATGCAATAAAAAATTTTTCAAAGAGTTTTCGATAATAAGTGTGAATTCATTATGGAATTCATTATCACACTCATTATGGAAATAATGGTTGACATAGTTTTATTGTAATTTACATGTGATATTTTAACTCAGTTTTACTAGGCCCCTTTTCTGTATACACTAAAATAGTTTTATTGTAATTTACATGTATTACATGGAGCTTTTAAATTTAGCTCTGAGTGTTCATCATAGAACTTGAGAAGAATTCTCTGGGGAGTATTCCAAATATTGCATTATACTTTAGGTAGAAGAGATGACTGTAACACTATCACTGGATCAAATTGGTATTCAATAAGCATCTGTGCAACTAGAGAAATAAAGACCAAATTCTTGCAAATCATTTAATTGAAAATATGGGACTGCATTGTAAAAGCAATTATATTTTAGGAAATATTATCAAATTATAATTGCAGCCTTTCTCTAAAAGTTTTTTTAATGTTTAAGCTCTAAATTACTTTCTGTTTCAAAATATTTTATTTATATTGCTAGCTTGTTAAAAACTTAAAACTCTAAAATACTTAAAACTCTAATAGTCTGATCAACCAATAATATTCCATACATGCACAATGGTTAGGGTATTGATCAGGGCTGTGGAGTCGGAGTTGCAGAGTCACAACATTTTTAGCGGAGTCGCTAAAAAAAATTGTGACTCTGACTCCTATAGTAAAACTTTTCGGTGTTGCATGTGCAAAATGTTGTTATACTAAATCTCAAAGAACTTTCCAAAAATTTAGCAAAAAAATTTTTTTTAACTTATCGCATAATATTTTTTGAAGAATTCAAAGAACTTTTCAAAAATTTTGCTTTGGAGTCGGAGTTGGAGTCAGAGTCGGAGGTGCACTCTAAAAATTTCAACAACCGGAGTCGGAGTCGGTAGTTTTTTTTTACGACTCAACACCCCTGGTTTTGATACAAATATTTTAGCTTTAGTTAGTAAAGCATCAGTAGTTAAAAGTCGAAAAAAGGTGATGATCTTCAAAAATTAAAAAAATTTAAATAAAATAAAAGAATTTATTACTAAGGTAAAAAAATTAATTTTATCCTTTTTATTATTCAACTGTTTTGCACCTGAATTATTATTACTAATATTTAATACAATTATTTTATCCATCACTTATGTGGCTAAAATAAAAAAATAATTTTTATTAAATGATGCATTACCCTACTAGGTACTATATGAGAATAATACCAGAAAGTTGCAGTGGCTGAACCCTACTCTATGAGAATCACACCAGAAAGTCCCAGTGGCTGAACCCTACTCTATGAGAATAACACCAGAAAGTTGCAGTTGTTAAACCCTACTCTATGAGAATCATACCAGAAAGTTGCAGTGTCTGAACCCTACTCTATGAGAATCACACCAGAAAGTTCCAGTTGTTGAACCCTACTCTATGAGAATAACACCAGAAAGTCCCAGTGGTTGAACCCTACTTAAAAACCAATACAAAATTCAAAATTTAATTTTTATTCAAATATTGGCAATCATAGCTGATTCCAGTTGTTTTGAACCAATCAAATTTAAAACATTTGAATTAAATCAAAATAAACTAAAAATGTTTATGCAATCTTGCTAGTTTAAAAATGATGTGGTTCAGTAAAAGTTTAGGAAATGGTATGAAAATAAATATAAGTTTTTTAGTTTTGATTGAAAATCATGTGTTTCCTTCTATTTATGTCAACTGGATTAGCTAAATATAAGGAGCTTTCTTATATTATTAAAATGATTTTAACTTTAATTCCTGGCCAAGCTTTGGTTACAATGGGTTTCACCATAAACCGTTCTATATGAAAATATTGAGTCAACTTGATTGCTTTGATTTTTTACAAAAGATCATATGAATTTTCAATAGGTTTAATCTGACACTAATAATATTGATTTTGTATTACCAGTTAAGATTGCCTGACAACATTACTAAGTCAGTTTAGCAGAGCAAGAATTTAATGAAAGAGCAAGAATTTAATGTTAATTATATGGTATAGCATATAATTAACATAAAAATTTAAAAATTTTGTATGTTAGCATCTAAATAAATAGCAAACATATATGTTTAAATCCATATATATCCATATTATATATGCATAAATGCGCCTCTTACTTAACCTCCTGGATCAAGCAGGTATGAAAGCTGTTATTTCTTCTCATCGGTTTTAAACCAAGCTTCATTCTTCTCCACATTTTTCACTTTTCAAAGCTGAAGTTAATTTTCATTTAAAACTGTGCGGCTTGTGTTTTAGGCAAAATTTACATTATAGTCTTCAAACGTGTTCTCCAAAACTCTCTTCAATTCTTGCTAAACTATTAAAAAGTGATGAATAAATGATTCCAATGTTTAAAAACTCTAGAAAACACTCTCCTACTATACTGTGATTATCATCTCTCAAACTATACTGTGATTATTATCTCTCCAACTATACTGTGATTAGTCTTCTCTCTTTTTTAGTTTCTTTATATAAAAATCTTAAGTATGTTAAATCATTGATTTGTAAAAATATTTTAGTCATTCTCAAAGGCCTACACTCTTCTTTTTTTAAATAATGTTTTAACATTTTAACTTTTTTTCTTTGCTTCTTAATTTTCAATAAAAATCTTACTATCTTACATCTACTTGCTGATGGCTCCTATACTTTTGTCTTGAAAAAAAGTCTTTACATTATCAGGGCTCAATTTAATTTTTTATAATGTCCCAGACAAAATGTCCGGTCAAAACTTGTTTATATTGGACAGTGTCCGATCAAATTTTTAAAATATAATATTTGCGGTTTTACAGAACCGAGTTATGCAATTGAAATCTTTGTCATCTTATTCAGTTTTTATAAAGTTCATTTAGTCTTGTGAAGTTTCTTTCCTTATTATTTAGAATATTTATGTGGTAGTGGTGTAGTGGTAGAGCGCTCGAGTTCGATCCCCACCATGTCCCTGGTAGTACCGCGCTCAACTTGTTTCTCCGCGCAGCGGCCTTGTTCATCAAGATTCATGTTTCGGAGTTATAGAGTTAAAAGAGGGTTATAACCACAATTAAGTAGCCTCCTTGTCTGTAGTGGCCTTCTCGGCCTTGGGGAGGTGAAATAACAAAAAAAAAAAAAAAAAAATTTCACCGCAGATGTTTGTTTTTTAATAAAGTAGTTTCAATTTAATATTTTATGTTCTTTTAGATAGACTTAAATTTTCATGCTGTAACTGGCAACGCTTACTACTTTTTTCTTTACAATTTGACAACGTCTATAATTAAAATAAATTTGGCATTTTAACAATTTAAACACAATAAAGAAATTTATAAGTTGTGAATAACTTTTAATTATTGATCTTTTTTAAAGTTTTTATTTTACGCTTTAAATAAAATCAAAAAATTATTATAATGATCGTTTAAATGCGTGTGTAAATTAAATGTTATATTTAAATTTTTTTAGTAGATACGTAATTTTTATAAATTTAAAAGTTTAAAATTATTTTTCAATGTTTTTCTAAAATTCTTTTAAAAGATTATTTTTTAAAGATAATTTAAACTATAAATAAGTTAAATTAAAACTTCCCATGATTTAATTGATTTTTTTGTTTGTTTGTTTCTATTTTTACAAAGAATTATTTAAAAGTGTTTTTTTTTAAACTTGACTTACTAATTAAAGCATGAAATGAATAAAAATTATTATTTTAAAAAGACTACATTAGGGGTCGTCCATAAAGTACATACGTCAAAAATTTCGAAATTTGACACCCCTCCCTTCCCCCTGTTACCATGCGTACTTCTAATCCTCCCCCCTCCCCCTTAAAAAGTACGTTATTGAAATACCCCTCCCCCAAACTTTTTTTTTCAATGAAAAAATTTATGGAAAAAAAAATCGTAAAGGAGGTACCTTAGATACTTATACGATCCAAAAGCTGTTTGTTTGCAGCACAGGATCCCAATTTAAAAAATGTCTTCAAATATATATGCAAATATTAATTTTAATAAATTTAAATTAAGACTACCCGTACCCCTTAATTTGATGGTGGTGGTGGTGGGGGGGGGGGATGATAAGGTTGCAGAAAATTTTGTGCCCTTTTGCTAGTTTGTTTTAGCAAAACCTAGCACTAAAATTTGGGAGATTTTGAGGCCCAAATGACTCATTTTTTGGTGGAGCCTCTGACCCATTAGCCATGGCACTGCTAAAACCTGTTTTTTGTTGAGTCAAAAAATAGGTTGCTTAAAATACGCCTTACTCAGGGCCAGTATATAAGGGGTGTAATGTGTGCATGGGTGCCCACAGGATTTTTTGATGTTCTAGATAGGACACTTTCACACATTTGGCATAGGTATACTTAAGTTTGTAGCTTGCAAAATCTCCAAACATAAGTATGCCTATGCCAAATGTGTGAAGCTCTAAAACTTAAGTATAACTATGCCAAATAAGGAGGTCTTGCAAAAAGTTAGGATGGCAAAGGCCTGGGAACAAAAAAAGCCCTAAAATGCTTGCCCAAACCCCAAGTGTGAAGGCAATAATGTAGTAAAATTTCAACTTTACCATCTAAAACTAAATTAAAATTTATTGTCAGATTTTAAATTTCGTAGAAAAATATTGTAAATTACAAAAAATATGACCATACAAAATTTACACCCCCTTCATTTTTTTTTTTTTTTTTTTGGGGGGGGGCTTTTAGGGCTTATTTGCTATCAGGCCTCTGCCTTCTTAATTTTTTACAAGGGTATTATTTGGCATAGGTATAAAAATACTTAAGTTTGGAGTTTGCACAATGTGTGAAAGCATCCTATCTGAACATCAGAAAAAAACTGCAAGCCCCCATGCATGTGTGTGCATTGAGGGAAACTATACCCTCTACTCTACCCTTAAACATCTTTTTATGTTGGCAAACTAGGATCTTTAGTCAGATTTTTAACTTTTCTATTGATTGGCTGGTTAATTGTAATAAATTAAAAAATCGATGTATGTACTTTTAAATTAAACCCTTTAGCCTGAAATTGAGCCAGAGAATGTCTGATGGCCGACCGTTAAATTGAGCCCTGCATAATATTGCTTAATATCTTACATCTACTTGCTGATGACTCTTATATTCTTGTCTTGACAAAAAATCTTTACATTATATTGCTTAGCAGCTGATTATAAATCTCCCTTCTGTAACAGCTTCTGTAAAGCATACAGTGAATTAAAGTGGATTTAAACTCCCACAAAACTCTTTAAACTTTGTTAAGCGTTATATGTTTTGCTAAGTGTTTGTATTATTGTTAAGTCCAATTTGTTATTAAGTTATTTTTTTTTAATAATATTAAGGTTATTATTATATTAATATTTTTACTATTATGGTACTTTAAATTATATATTTATCAATTTATAATATTTTTAGTTGTTTTTTATTTGTGTTATTTTTTTTATAGTGTTTATCTGGTAGTTCTGATGGAACTGTAAGATTATGGTCTATTGGGCAACAAAGATGTATAGCAATCTACAAAGTGCATGATGCTGGAGTATGGACTTTAGTAACAGATGATAATTTTAATTACTTTTACTCAAGTGGTAAGGACAAAAAAGTATTTTTTACCGACTTGAAGTTAGATGAAAATCCTGTGCTGTTGTTTGAAGAAAAAGCGCCTGTACTATCGGTAGTTATTTTGTTTAATTTTCTATTAAATTTTTTTTTCTTTTAACTTCTAAAACACTGCAATCAAATGGTTGCTATGTATGAATGTTGCTATGGGTGTATATAAATTAGTTCATTTGTTTTTATTATCAAATTTTTTATTTTTAATATTTTCAATAATGTGTAGGGAAATGAGTATGAAGCAGGTAAGACTTTCTAGCCATGGTAAAGACAACTCAATTAGAAGAGGCAAAAGTTTGATATAAAATCCCTTCTTTAATATGAGTATGGTTAGAAGGGCCCTAAAAACTTTAGATGTTTCTCTTTTAAGTAATGGTGTTACAATAAAAGTACTTATTCCTGTTTCTGTTTACACACACTTGCTTCAAAGTTTCTCTGATACTATTTTCATTTATAAATTATGGAAAATGTTGGAGTCAAAAAAAAAGTCCTAAAATTTAAAAAGTTGAATATTTATAAAAAAAAACAACAAGAATTTAAAAATAAACTAAAGTAAAGAAGCTATAAAAAGACCAAAACAGAACAAAAAAATCACAAAATTTTGTGATTTTTTTGTTTCAAATTTAATAGACATAGTTGCTGCCATTTTCCTCATGTACTGATCATCACTTGCAAGATGTGTGTTCAACACGTGTTTCACACTCCAAACTTGATATAAATTTGCTGTTGGATATTTGGTTCCTGAAAATAGCTTAGATGTTGTATTAAACACCGAAAAAAACTTGCATATTTTTTCAGCTTTAATCCAATTCTCATCAGAAGACAACCATTTGTAGTTAGCATCCCTTGCAGCATATTCTTTCAAAACAAGTTTAAATGGCAGAATATGCTCTAACATCGTATAAGTAGAGTTCCAACGTGTTGCGACATCAAGTCGCAACCCCTTGTTTGTTGGAAAATCCATTTGCTTTGCACTTTGTCCAAATTTATATAAATGAGCCGGAGATTTTTTTTTAAATACTTCACTGTTTCTCTAATACTTTCAATAGCAAAAGCAATCTCTTTTATCCTATCTTGCACCAAAAGATTTAATACATGTGCAGCACAACGAACATGAAATATATGAGATTTGAAATGGAGCTTATTTCGTGAAATTAAATTGTTTTTCAAGCAAGTAGTAGCTACATCATTTGAACTTGCATTGTCAAGAGTTATTGATTGAACCTTTTATTATATTTCCCATAATTCCATACATTTGGCAATATAATCAGTAATAAGAACTCCAGTGTGACGGGGCTCTAATTCACAAAAGTTTAGGATAAAACTTTTTAATATCCAATCATTATCAACAAAATGAATAGTGACACAAATATACCCAACTGTTTGATTTGAAGTCCAGTTTTCTGAAGTTGAACACACCCTACTAACTTTTTTCAACATGTTCTTTAACTTGTCCTTTTCAGTTTGATACACCTTGACACAATCAGATTTGAAGGTAACTCTTGACACCTTTTTGTACTTGTAATTCGAAGCCTTTGCAAAGATGTTAAACCACTTGTGTTCAATCATATTAAAGGGATGTGCAATAAACATCTTAGCATCTTAGCTTAGTATCTCTCAATTTTATTTTGGATCATAAAGAGAATTCTTTAAAATTAACATCCAATCCAGTATTACCTTCTGGCAGAAAAGGTAATACCTTATTCTTCCCTCTAGTCCTCAGTGGTATGCATAAGCATATGTGTCTTTTTAGTTGTGTTGTAGCTCCAGATTTTTTTTTTTGCCAAGACTGAAGACATCCTTTGCACTTCACCTTATAAGTTATTGTACCATTCTTATCAGTTTCAGACACCTCTTCAAAAGATTTCCAAACATCAGAAGTTTTTTTCCTCTTTCTTCCATTTAAACAGTACTACTTGTATTCTCATCTTCCACGTCAATTAAATTGTTATCGTTTTCACTGATATTTTCACCATTCAAATCCTCAACATTATCCCCAGTTTGAACATTATCAACAACATCCATAATATTGAGTTTTTATCTACATTAATGAAAAATATGAAGTTAATTTCAATAAACTAAACATATAATGGAAGAACAGTAAAAAATATAAATAGTTATCATCTATAACAAAGAAAGGAGAGGTACCTGTTTCTGTTTGAACTTTGAATAGATAGTAGAAAAATCGTGAATAGTAAGATTCTGCAATACGAAGAATTCACTTTGAAAAACCTCGAATTTCGCAGTTTAAAGATATGGACTTTAAAAACACGGAATTTGATTTTTTCGAAGTTGAACAAAATATTCCTTATAAAAACGTATACAATCAAAGTATTTCGAAGTAATGAAATTCAAATTTTAAATTTTCAAAGTTCAATTTTTCTTCAAAGTTTTTTTAATTAAAAGTTTTAATTAAAAAAACTTTTTAATTAAAACTTTTAATTAAAAAAACTGTTTGACGCTCTCCAACTTGTAGTTCTATTAATTATATTAAAAGTTTTATAATCAACATTTTTATTCACAAAGAAGAAGAGGAATGAATAAACTTATTATGAAATTATGAAATAACAGAAAGCAAGAAAAAATGTTATAATGCATATAATCGTTTTAATATGACGCGAATTGTATATTGAAGTTAGAAAGTTAGTAGTTCGAAGTAATGAAATTCGAATTTTAAAATTTCGAAGTTTATATTTTCAAAGTTAAAAAAAAGTCTGTTGAGCACTAATTTATAGTTCTAGATTTAGTAAATACAAGTTTTTAACTAAAACAATAATTTACGACTTTACCTGATTAAATAGCAGAGTAAATAAACAAACATTCAATATATTATCATGAAACATTTAGTTGTGCAACTTGAAAAAATACCTCTCTACAAGTTAAAAAATGGCTCCTTCAACAAAGTCATTGTGAAAAGAGTTTGAAAAAAAAATTTTATATATTTACTTTTCTGTTTTGCATAATTTGTACACTCTTAAATCCATTAAAAATGGTCTAAAACATATTGGGCCTGTTTGCAAATGACAATAGTCAAAGCAGCCTCACGTAATTAAATTGTTTATATTAATCAATTATTTAGTGCAATAAGAGTTATATGGGTCATATCTGATATGGTTACACTAACACTATATTTTTATTATATATTAATATATATAATATCATAATTTTATTTATTACATATATATTATTATAACATAAATAAATAAATATATATATATATATATATATATATATATATATATATATATATATATATATATATATTCGAGCTTTAATCGAGCCTATATGAACGAGCTTATGATGTTCAAGCTTGGTTTGTTTAATAAACGAGCCTAATTTTTTGTTCAAGCCCGGCTTGTTTACCATTCGAACCGAACATGAACGAGCTCTTGTCGAGCCGATCACCGAGTTGTTTACGAACACAAGCCAGGATTTACAGCCCTATGCATGTTGTCCTGGCTCACACAACCATCAAAATATTCCTCAACCGTTTCCTTGCTCTTTATTTATATTATTTGTTTTCTAATAACTTCCAATTTAATTTGTTTGGAGTGAATATGATTGAAAAAAAAAGTTTCGGGCAAAATTAAAAGGATTAGAGCATTTCACTTTTTTTTTTTACTTTATTATTCAGAACCATTACTATTAAATTTGGAAAAAGTTATTATCAGAAACAAATCAATGCATTCATTTAATTTTTTTAGATGCAATTGGTTGAATACCCACCAGGATTATGGGTAGCAACAACAAATTCTGATCTTACCTGTTGGGTAAAAGTCTTGCTTTTATTTTTGCAATTTATACACAACATACATATCATACATACCATATATGCATGAATGAAATGTATGTATGAATGTATGTATGTATGTATGTATGTATGTATGTATGTATGTATGTATGTATGTATGTATGTATGTATGTATGTATGTATGTATTTATGCTAAATAAATCAGTTATAAAAGCCAAAAAATAAATCAAATAAATTAAAAAAATTAATATTACTATAAATTCTTTATAGATTGATAAAGTAATAAAAATAGAAACGTATTTTTATAAAAAATAAAAAATAAGAATTAGTTTATTGTAATTAAGATTCATTTAAAACTTTCATTATTTTTGATAATCTCAAAATCTATAAATTTGTTTATAAAAATGTTTATGTAAAAATTTGAATAATTTTGGAAAACTTTAATTTTAAATGTTATACAACATCAGGCCATGTGATGAATAAAAACTGCGCGATGCATTCTTTTTATTTGCTTTTCATATTTATTGAGATTAACAATTTACTTAATTACCACAAAATTACTTTATTTTACTTCTAGTAAAATAAAATAGAATGTTAGAATAAAAATCTTTGCGCAAATAAAATATTTTTTTTTGCGCAAATAAAATATTTGCGCCTACCAATTTTTAAAATATTTCCTGGAAATTACTCTTAAATACTTTAAATACATCAAACATTTAATAAATATTTTTAAATCTATGGAATAATTTTAAAACCTAACAAACCCCCGTAAAATAATTATTTTAGTTAAAAATCTAAAACTAAACGAAAGTATTTTTGTTCAATTTTATCGACAACTTTGCTATTGCTAAATAATTTTATTAAAATGTTAACCTAAAAAGATTTAAACTTTTTTTTTATCTGAATTTTTGTTACTTGTAAATAATGAGCATATTTAATTTTTTTGTAATTCAAACTTTTATATCAACTGCGTGCGGTTTTTAAAATACTTTATTAAATGTTAAAATAATCGTAAATTACTTCATTAAAATTCCGCTCAAAAATATCTTTAAATATACTCAAACAAAAATTTTTTTGCTCAATGTAAATAGCCTTAGCTACACGCAAAAACGCTCTTGGGCGACATAAAATTCACATCACCCGACGCTTTATTGCAAGGCCTGCAACATACTATTCTAAATTTTAAAATCAGGAAGTTTCTGTTTTCATAATCTCAAATCTTGAAAAAAAAGTCTACAAGTTGTAAATATTATGTGTGATTGATCATTATGTATATGCTACTGCTTAGTAGTTGATAAAATAAATAGCCTTCATTAGGGCTCAGGAGCTGGAATGCTAAACCAAGTAGCATTTTAACCAGAGCTGGTGCTGAGCTAGAATAATCATTTTTAGAAGGGTAGACCTCAGTTCCTCTATCCTAATATTCATAATATTTGTAGTAAATATTTCTAACTATGAAACATAAAATATTTATAATGGTTATAGCTTCATTCAAAGGAATATAGTATACTTTATAGATAAAATTGCAGGAGGTTTGTAGAGCTGAGTGAGATATTGTATTAGATAGATTATAAAGTTTGATTAAATACAGTGTTACATTATCTACAATATTAGCAAAACTCTTTTAACACAGAGTTTTTTAAATTAACACAAAGATAGAAAAATATTGCTGAATAGTACTTTGATCAAAAACGTTTTGTTGATTTTTTAATAAGAAATTTTGCAACCTTTTTTCTTATTTGCAATTTTTTGATATTAGCTTACCTATTTGTATTAATTATTATTTTTATATTTAAAGAAATAATACTTTTTTTTGTGTTCTTCTGATCTAACTTTGTTGAGTGTTTTATACCTTGGACTAAATATTTTATTAACTATTTTTTTTTACAATGTTTACTGATAGAACCATGCATTTTTCTAGCATCTCTATAAAGGTGTATTGGTTGATTTGGCTTGTATAAATCACAGTTTACTACTTCCCAAAGTATAGAACATAAGAGCAGAATTTTTTGCTGAAAAAGTATAGAAAATTATTAAATTTGGAGTTACTAGAAATCAAAGAATAGAATTAAAGAGCAAGGAAATAGTTGACAGAAGACTTTAAAAGTTGTAGGTTGTCTGAGTCAGGAAAACATGAAAAATATGAGAAAGTTAATTGTGATTACAACCATCTGTTAACTCTAATTTGCTTGTGTAGAATGCTGTTTTCAAAAATTCTAATTATTTAGAGTCTTTTGAAACTAATAGAAGCCCTTAATGACAGGACCCATCTTAATATAACATTAACTAAATTTCAACAGTGGGAAGTAGAAAAACTAGATTTGTAATTTTTTAGTCTAGTAACTAACAATAGCATCCAACAATATAGCAAATAGCATGGTTAACACCTGGTTAAAACAAATAGCATGGTTAACACCTGGTTTATTTTATTAAAAAAATGGAATAGTTAACACCTGGCTTATTTTATTTACATAATTTAAAATTCTATTAAATTATTGGCATCATTGGTTTGATTAAAAGTTCAAAAATAAAAGTTGCAAAATAAGAAAAAAATTCTTTTAGACAATTATTATTACTAGCTGCAATTCACTCATTAAGCATTTTACAGTACATCGTATGGCAGAATATCCAACAATGATTCAAAATGAAGCTTATACAGTAACTGCAAAAACACAAATTAGCGTGGAACAAGAATTTTTGACAAACTATTCGGTTAGACCTTGAAGCATCAATTAAAAATGATTTAGTAAAGACAATATTGTTTCTCAGAACTGATTAAGTTTGAATAAAACAAATTAAGTTCTTTAATTTCTTAGAATCTTATGTTTTATTTAATTTTCAGAATCTTCTGTATCTTATTAATTTTCAGTTCACTTTTTAAAGTTTAGAATAAACACATTTTTGTTTTCATTATGTTATAATTTTACTAAATGTTATTGTAAAACAATTACTTTTGACTCTACAAATTGTTTGGTCAGACCATGAAACATCAATTAAAAATGACTTAGTAAAGGCAATATTGTTTCTCAGAACTGATTTAAAAACAACTTATGTTCATTATTTTCTTCGAATATTATGTATTATTTAATTTTCAGTTCACTCAGAAAGTTATGTAAATTATTTTTACTAAACCATTAAGTTGCCCCAAATCTTTAATTTTAGATAAACTTTTAATGACTTCTATCAAAATTATTGGTTTATGAAATAATTACATCAATTTTTTTTTTAACATTCGCCTTTAAAAAATTAAGAGCTGTATGATTAAGTTTAAACTCAGTACATCTTCCTTACAAATTTAGATGTTATTGAATTTAAAATCAGTAAATCTTCCTTACAAATTAAGATTTTAGTGGGTTTAAAATCAGTACATCTTCCTTACAAATTTAGATTTTAGTGGGTTTATAATCAGTGTCTTTTATAACATAATTTTTTAATGTAATAAATTTAAAAAAGTTATATTGTATCTATGTTTTGTTATTTTAAATGTAGATCGATTGTAAGCATTATAAGCTAAAATATTGGCAATGTATTGTTAAAGCTAAAATATTGGCAATTTAATGTTCAAAAACTTTTGCGATGCAAAAGATTTTGAACATTAAATTGCTTTATTTTTTAACTTTTGATTAAAGTTTCTTCTTTTAGCCTATCATATCCCCTGTTTTTTAGCCTCTCATATATCCTGTTTTTTAGCCGATCATATACCCTGTTTTTTAGCCTATCATATACCCTGATTCAGTATCTGTCTCAGAAACTGGTGTGGAACTTTATTCTTTTCCTTCTGCTGATAAAAAATGTAAAACGATTTCAGGTGATATTTAATTGTTTTTTAATATGATAGTTAAAAGTTGATTTATTTGTTAATGACTTAATTTCTTCTGTGATAATTTATGTAATAATAACTTGTCTGTATTATAAATATCAATGTTATATTTATAATAATAAAATAGTTTTTAATAACTAAATATAATTGTTTTTTTTTCCATTAAAATATATTTTTAGGTGTATCATAGTTTTGCTTTTTTTTATCATTTGTAAAATTTAAAAAGACAAAAGAAATCTTTTTTTTTTTAGGTTTATTTTATAGAAAAATTATGAGCAAATATTTTTCTGTTTTGTTATTAGGAGCCCCTGGAATAAAAGATATACATGTATGCAATAATAAACGCCACATACTTACGAAGGATACTATTGGAGATGTTACACTTTGGGATGTTCTACAGGTATTATTTTGTAGTATAATAATTAATAGGAAAGCCTCTTAATATTAGGAGAAAAAGACTACATTATCATTTGCATTTTTTTAATTACATTTTAACTTTTTTTGTCATTTTTATTTTCAATAAATATCATGATCAATTAATTTATGAAATTACTTTTATGTTTTAACAACAAAATATCTGTGATGTTGTGACAACAAAATATCTGTGATGTTGTGACAACAAAATATCTGTGATGTTGTGACAACAAAATATCTGTGATGTTGTAACAATAAAATATCTGTGATGTTGTGACAACAAAATATCTGTGATGTTGTGACAACAAAATATCTGTGATGTTGTAACAACAAAATATCTGTGATGTTGTAACAACAAAATATCTGTGATGTTGTGACAACAAAATATCTGTGATGTTGTAACAACAAAATATCTGTGATGTTGTGACAACAAAATATCTGTGATGTTGTGACAACAAAATATCTGTGATGTTGTGACAACAAAATGTCTGTGATGTTGTGACAACAAAATCTCTGTGATGTTGAACAACAAAATATCTGTGATGTTGTGACAACAAAATATCTGTATTGTTGTGACAACAAAATATCTGTGATGTTGTGACAACAAAATATCTGTGATGTTGTATCAACAAAACTTGATTTTAGTCTTAATCCTAATTTTTACAAAGTATATCAACAATGATTAAGTATAAATTAAAAGAAATAAATTATTTTTTTAAAGGCAAGAAAGGTGAACAACTATGGGAAGGTCAACTTTGAAGAAGAATGTATAAAGCATCGTGAAATGGTTTTTGTGCCAAATTGGTTTACTGTTGATGCCAAAACTGGAGTAATTTTATATAAGTTTGCTATAGGGTTCGAAATTACTCATAATACACATAATTTATTTCATAGTACAATCAAAATATTTTTAAAAAATTTTATTTGTACTTTTTTTCCTTTTACCATGTTTAATATATGTGAAGTTTTTTTTGCTGGTTTAATGTACTTGGCACAAGTAAATATTGTTTTTATGGTGTATTATTGTTTGTATGGTGTAATATTGTTTGTATGGTGTATTATTGTTTGTATGGTGTATTATTGTTTGTATGGTGTATTATTGTTTGTATGGTGTATTATTGTTTGTATGGTGTATTATTGTTTGTATGGTGTAATATTGTTTGTATGGTGTGTTATTGTTTGTATGGTGTAATATTAATTGCATAGTGTAATATTGTTTGTATGGTGTATTATTATTTGTATGGTGTATTATTGTTTGTATGGTGTAATATTAGGGGGGGGGGGTCCAAAATTCTATATTTCTTGTTTAACCAGTTATTCTTAATTAATTTTTTGAGAAAAGTTTAAAAAGCAATTCAGTTTTTGCTAATTTTTTATGGTTGACCTTCTACTTCTATTTTTAAAATTTAAAGATATAAAAAATAAAAGTCTTTGCAAAAGTTTCTTTGCGTATAAAGTTAGGCAACTTTTCTTTTAAATTTATGCTATTCAAATTTTGATTGGATAAATTTGATTTTTAATCCTTGCGTTTTAGAAAAAAAAAGTTTAATCTGAAGTCTTTTTCTAAAAAAACGTTTTAAATAAGTAAAATGACAGATTGCTTCAAAAAAAAAGTTTTATCTGAAGTCTCTTTCTAAACAAAGCGTTTTAAGTAATCAAAAAGACAGATTGCTTCAAAATATCTCAATTTCCTTTTTTTTATTTATTTTTAATCGTTATTCGAGCTATCAAGAAGGCTATTCAAGATTTCATTTTATTTCACTTTTCTTTAATGAAGTCAAGAATAAATCTTCTTTTAAAGTGCCAGTCAGTAAAAGTTCAGTTAAATTCTAAAGTTTTAACAATTCTAAAGATAAACAGGCTAAAGGAACACCGCTACCTAAAAGGCTTTATAAAAAAAAAAAACTGGGTGATCAAATTTTAAAATTTTCTGCTTTACTCTAAAACGTAGTGAATAGCTAGTTAAAAAAAATTCTAGAAGCAGTTAATAAGTATACCTCAAAGAGGTTGAACGATTGTATCATTCTTGCTAGAGTATTTTGGCAAAAGTTAGCCTCAGGACTTCAAAAAAGAGAAAAGTATAATGTGTTTGGTTGATAATGGAATATGATTAGTATTAACTTTCTAATTAAGTTGTTGCAGTTGGAAAGCTTTGAAAAAAACCCATTAAATTTCAACAGATGTATACTTAATTATTTAAACTATATAAAAAATGAAGGTTCGCGCAGTTTAAAAATATTTTGGAAAATTATTGTTTAGTTATTTGTCCAAAAAGTTGAAACTATGGAATATAGTTGGAACCAGCTACAAAACAAATGGATAACAATGGAAGAGCAGCAAACTTTACATCAAGTGTGCAAGATGAGTTCTGTTTTAGCTTGATTAAAGTTATAAGGCAGCCCATTTAGCTGTGAACTAGACATTATTGAAATAGATAAAGATATGTTAAAATGAAAAAAAAGTTCAAAAAATGAGGTTCTTTATTTTAGGGATACAATGTAGGTCATTATCGCGGAGGTCTATTCTGTTTAAATACATGATTGTTGATATAAAAATAAAAACCTCCATCTTATGTCTACCAAAGAACACGCTCATAACCTAGATGTTCTATAAGGAAAGTTCACGCAGCAATCTCTATCACATATGATGACTTTTATAGTTATTTTCTATTTTCAATAGTAAATAACAAACTGTATGAATTATTTTCATATATAATGCTTAATTTTTTTTGTTACTTATAAATGATAAGGTATATTATTGATAAATTAAACAGAAAAAGATTTCTAGTTTTCTACTTTTCTTATATTTAATGATAATAATAATTTCATCTATTTTTAACAATGCCTTTTTTTGTCAATATATTCACTTTTATTAAAATCGAAGTAGAAGGCTAAATAATTAAAATGAAAAAAAATAATTATGATTTTCAGAATCAGCATTAAAAAATAATTAAGAAAAAGTTAAACTATAAAAAATTTAAAAAAAGACGATTATGGATCCCCCCTAGTAATATTGTTTGTATGGTGTAATATTGTTTGTATGGTGTATTATTATTTTTATGGTGTATTATTGTTTGTATGGTGTAATATTGTTTGTATGGTGTAGTATTGTTTGTATGGTGTAATATTGTTTGTATGGTGTAATATTTTTGGTATGGTGTATTATTGTTTGTATGGTGTATTATTGTTTGTATGGTGTAATATTGTTTGTATGGTGTAATATTGATTGTTAAGCAAAGTCCTGTAATTTAAAAAGTTTTACATTCAAAGGTAATAAATTTATAACTTTAGTGCAAAAGCAGAATTTGTATATGTTAATCATTTTATAATCTGCTTGAATAAGGTATATGTAAATTTTGTAGATGCTAACAGTCACTCTAGATGAATCAGATTGCTTCTCTAGTTGGATGGTTACTGAAGATGTCCCTTCTTTTTGTGTTGAAGCTACTTCTCTTGGTACGTTTTTTTTCTAGAAAAAAAAAATTAGGTAATATTGTGCTTTATCATTATTATTTTTTTAAACTGCAGAAAATTTAATTTCAAAAGTTTTGATTTTAATCCCTTTAGATGGATTGAAAGAATTTAACATTTAAAAAAGTAAAATAAAATTTTTATTTCATAATAATACAGGTATATTTCATTTTCTCAAGTATCCAACTCAAAAATCTAGCTTCTGAGTATCCAAGAAATTTTTAGGCTTTTGAATGGTCTGTTATTTAATCACACACAAATGAGTTGGTGGTATAGGTGATAAGCAAAGCATTATATATATGCATAAATTTTCTTTTTTTTATAAAAAAGAAGAAAAATACTACTTTTTTCAGTTTCATATTGATTTGAGTATGATATGCTGGCATAGGTTGCAACATAGTGAATAAGACACAGAATATGTCTTAGTATTGGCTTATGCTTATATTTTTATGATTCTGACTTCAAAGACTAAATATTTTGGATTTCCATATTTAATGACAGTTAGTGTCTAAATATGAAAGTTTTTAAAGTTAGCATATTAGGACGTCAGTAATACAGGGTGTCTGCCAGATCAGGGAAATTAGGGAAAAGTCACGGAATTTAGATGTTTTAAAAAAAATAAGGGCAAAATCAGAGAAATTAGATCAAATCTTAGAAAAATTAAAGGGAAATCAGAGAATAAATCAAGATTTTATTAATTATCTTATTTTAGAAACTTTTTTTTTTAAGCTAGTAAACTTTTGAGCTAATAAGCTTTTGAGCAAGCTTTTAGTAACTTACTAACTAGTAGCTAACTATTTGATGTTATTAATCAGTTTTTATTTTTTTAGACTAGAACAAGTTTAAGTAAATTAAATAATGAACATATTTTGATGTTCAGTGGTTACAAATACCAGAATACAAAGCTTGGTTAATGTGTGAGGATGTAATTACCTCAGCAAAAGGTAAAATTTGTCCAAATCCAAGAAATATAATTGAGCTGTCTAATATAGGTCTGACAGTGTTAAAAAGTTATTCAGCAGGAAAGAAGGATTGTAAACATTTGTCTCTTTACTTAAAAAATGACATGCATACCATTTACCAAAAAAAATGACATGTATACCATGTGTCAAAAAGTATACTTGTTGTAACAACCACTTTGTCTGTAAACACAGTTCATGTTTCCACTCCTCAGTCGTATGTTATGTCAGATTCGGTTATTGATGCAGAGATCAGATAGACACTTAAAAATGTTTTGTTGTCATTTTCTTTTCGTTCTAGTGATGGACTTTTGATTTTGTTTAAATCAATATTTCCTGACAGTGCTATAGCTTTTCAGCTATAGCACTGTCAGGAAATATTGATTTAAACAAAATCAAAAGTGGTGAAAAGGTGGCTTTAAGAGCTGTTAGTATTTGGGAGAGCATTTTATCCTCTAATTTTAGCAAAATTTTATTTCTTTGCTCATATAGCTTTCTATATGAGCAAAGAAATAAAATTTTTCAATCCTTTTTAACAATTTATCAATATTTAAATATCAATTATCAAATTTTCAATAATCAAGTTTTCTCCTTCAGTAATTTCCAATGCAGACTTGCAGACTTGTTGGAAGCGAAGATGTTAAAAAAAGAAAAATGCTAAACTTAAAAAAAAGAAAATTTAAAAAAGCCAGATATTGGATGTGGTGCCAGGACTGTCATAGAGAATAAAAAAACGAATGATAAAATCACTCCATAAGATATTTATGCTTTCAACTACAGTTGCATATGTTTTCTACAGTTGTTGACATGTAAGTTTGTGGAAAAATCACCTTTAAAATATGCCATTGTGCAAAATGTAAAACGTTTTGACCCAGAAATAATGTGCAATTAAAAAATAGCAAAGGAAAAAATAGGTGATTTGGTTGATAACTTGATTCGATTACATTGGGTTACCCCAAAAGGTGGGAATGAGGTAAATACCGAATTCAAGAGATATTTAGAAGGGATTGTATCTAAAAACAGGAAACTTTTCATGAATTTCAACAAATAAGTGATAGATTATATGAATTCGTTTTTTTCTAAAGTTAGTGGTTTAGATGATTATCCGGTCCTGTCTAAATTAATCAAAATGATGTTGGCTCTTTTTTATGGTAAAGTGGTTTTTATGGTCAAGCGGTTGAAAGAGGGTTTAAAATTATCAAGAATATGTTACAACCTAACTTAATGAGTAAATCATTATTAGGCCAGAAAATTCTGTATGACCATATGAAAGCTCTTGACTTAAACCCGGAATCTATAGTTATCTCAAAGAAACTGAGAGAATCTATCAAAAAATCATGTAGTCAACAAAAGATGGTAATGGATACTCGAAAAGAAACTGAATTTACAGATGTTCAAAAGCAAAAAACTTGCTTGTGACTTACTTGCTATAGACATAAAGAATTTACAATCGGAAAAGGTTATTCTGGAAAATGTAAAAAAAAGTAAAATTCAAACAATTCTTGCTGAAAAAGCTCATACTTATGCTATTGAAGAAAAAGTTATTCTTGAAGAGAGGAAAACGAAGAAAGAAGAGATTAAAAAATTAGATGAAACAGTTGATTTATCATTTAAGAAAAGTAAAGAACTTTGAAACTTTAAATATTAGTGTGTTATTTATATATAGTAAAATCTAAATTTATATAGATATTTAAAAGATATTTAAAAGTATAATATATAAGTTATTATTTATTTGTAAAAAATCTTAATATTTATGTGACATTACTTTTTCAGTCTTTTTAACAAGAAATAAAAGTTTTATTTAAATTTTTATCATTCTTTTTGCATTACTTTTTCTGAACCATTTAGTGTATGTCTATTTTTCATCTTTTAAATATATGTTGATTTTAGCTTTATATATTATACTTTACATTACTATACTTTACATTATGTGTAATTGTTCTGAATGTTATTTATCAAAACAGTTAATAGATAAAAAGAAAGCATTTTTACATTTTACTTTGATTAAATTTAAAATGTACTTTAATGATAATAGTAACAATGATAGCATACTAACAATACTTTGATAAATGTAATAATGATGCTTGATTTTTTTCTGTACATGATTTTTCCATGTATTATCCCCCAATCCTGTTTAAGTCTGGAAAAGCTCATAATAACTGAAATAAAAACCAGGAAAATAAGGTCGATGATTAGTAAAAACTCATGGAAATCCACCTTAAGATTTTGGCAGACACCCTGGTAATAATACTATTGAAAATATCTATCAACTCTGAATAAACAGTTTTTTTCTAATGTTAGTTTTATAATTTCGCTTACTATGTTGTGATATATGAGAAAAGTTTTAATACATACATGAATCATTTGAAAGGTTTTTAAACATATAATTTTATTAAAAGGTTTTAATACATATATAATTTTATTAAAAGGTTTTAATAAATTTATGATTTTATTGAAAGATTTTAATATATATATGATTTTGTTGAGCTCTTTGATTATACTTATATTTCTTACTTTTTTTTTTCTATTACTAAAGTTTGATGCAATTTCAAGACTTTGTGATTGCTATCTAATGAACTAGTCAAAGTCCTTAAGTCCTATTGTCAGATGGTTTCATCTCTTTCTCTTTTCTATAAATACTTTTATAGTTACTGTTTAAAAAAGCATTCTCCATCTACCAAAACTCATTCTCGCATGTCTTTCAGCAAAGTGGGATTCTTTTACTGCATCTATCTTTTCATACTCTATAAAAAATTTTTCCTTGCACATTTGGAACTTTCTTCCATCTTATTGTTTTGCTGACTTATATAATTGACAGTTTTTTAAGTTTTCTGTAAACTTTTTTCATGCTCTTTAACAATATTCTTTGTTTTTTGGCAACTCATAACAGTAAGGCAAAACATAATTAGTGATTGCTTGCAGCCTTGTTGGATTCTTGTTGGTAGCAGGCTTGTGGAGCAGGAGCCGTCTCAGCTTTTTTTTTAAATGAATAAAACGTGTTTTTTTTTTTTTACCAGAGATAAACTTTGTTCATTTATTGTTAAACTGATTTGTTGAATGAATTGTTTATTGAGTTTCTATTTTTTTTCAAATATTTTTTCTAACAGTTACGGTCTTGCCAAAAACGTAATAAATTTTTAAATTAATAAAGTGAATATTTTAACAGTTTTGTGCTCAACAAAATACTATCCTTTAATAGTATTTCTTAATGTTAATATTAAAAAAAAGTAAATTATTTATGAAAACATAACAGGATTGCATAAATTGCTTTATATGATGTGAGACTTAAAGATAAAAGGTTATTCTTATCTTTTAAATTATACTAAAGCATGAGATTGTTAAATTTGGAACAATGAATTTTATTTTAAAACTTGTCACTAATATATTAAAAAAATTTTTTTCCGCTTAATTACATTAATTAATTACAGTATTAATTAAGAACATCAACAAACAGGTCAAAATGTTTCTCTTAATTAAAATGTCGTTAAAACATTTAGAAAAACGGAAAAAATTCTGCACAACTATCTAAAAAATCCTTCTGCATGGTTACTATCAATCACTAAATGATCTGAATCTAGCAAAACTATTGTTTATATGGTCATAAAACAATACAAGAGCTCTCTATAAAGTTTCAGAGTTTTTTAAAGATTAAATTTTGGCAAGCAATATGCAACTTTTTTTTAATATTAATATTAAGAAATACTATTAAAGGATAGTATTTTGTTGAGCACAAAACGGTTTGAGATCTTGAGCTTTTTTTACATCGTCAACTTTAAACTTGAATATTTCCATCAAAGAATACTTGCAAGACTTTTGCAGTTTTATCGAAGTCACAATGTCCTCTGTTGATTCTGGCCTATTCTTGCTTCTTGTCATAATTCTAATAAGAGTAGTACAGTTCGAGAGACATCAAGTTCATACCAAAAAGCTTGAATCCATCATTTTCCACACAGTTCTATCCCGTTGAAAAACTTAGGAGAATTGGCAAAGGATATTTGCGTAAGACTGACAAAACAATAAATACAGCTAAAGATTTGATTAGAGAGTGGACATTAGTAGGAAATAAAATTGTAGAAGACTCTGCGCAAAAGTTGATGTTGTCGATTAGCGTAAATATTTGCTTATTTATATGAATAATGAAAAGTATTAAAATAAAAAGCACTATCTTCAAGTTCCTTAGATAAATATTTAAATATTTATCTAAGGTAGATGATAGATAAATAAATAAATATTTTTTGTAGTTTTTTCATTAGTTAAACTATTTTTCATTTTTTTTGAATTTTTTATCGTTTTAAATTTAACAATCGCATGTTTAACCCTGTGGGCATGGGACATACAAAAGAGGTTTTTTGAACATCTTTGTAGCGTTTTGAACGTCTTTTGAACGTTCAAAATACGTCTATTTTAGGTCCCATGCCCACTAGGTATCTAGTGGGCACGGGGCTCGGTAAGGGCGTTAAAAAGACGTCTTTTAAACTTCTTTTGAACATTTCGATGCCTTTTGAATGTTTTGGGTGTCTTTGGGGCATTCAAAAGATGTGCCCCTGAGTAAAATAAGAACTAAAATTTAAACTAAAAACTCTTGTTTTGGGTAAATAATATATAGAAAAAAGTTTTTATTTACTTAAAACATTTCTCTTTTCAAATATAATATTTGGTAGTAGAGCAGTGATAATAATACAATAACCTTGTAATCAATAGAGTTGGCAAAAAATTAATTGCTGTAATTGGTAAAGTTTTGAGTTAGCAAATGTGATCAAAAAAATATTTCAAAACTTGCGAATTTTGTTCATAACGTACGGAAGCCGGAGCCGGATATTTCTTAGGAGTTGGAGCCAGAGCCGAGCCGTAAAAAAAATACTTGGCTCCACAAGTCTGGTTTGTAGTAAATTATTTAAAAAAAAACAACAACTATGAAAAAAAAAAAACAATTCTTATGAAAAAAACTTTTATATATGTTAATGTGTTTTAGTTTTCATTTTTTAAAAAATAAAGATTTAATTATACCAAAAAATAAATATATGCCAATTATAGTTACAACGAATTCTAGAATGTCCTGGATATTTATAATTGTTCTCGTATGTATTAGAAAATTAATTTTTTTTTCCAAAAATGTTCTGGAATAGAAAATTACATTTTATTCATATTTGTTTAAAAGATCTTTATTTTTATTTATTTTAATGTTTTATTTATTTAAAAGGTCTTTTTTATTTTTATTGTTGAATTTAATTAGAAAAAAAAGTGACAGTTATATTATGTTCTATTTGTAAAAAAGACATTTATATTACAAATATGGGCAAAAACGTTTTCACCACCAGTATTAAGTTCTTTTTTTCAATTATTTTACATAATTACATCATCATTTTCAAAAAAACTTTAAATACAATTAATATGCATTTTTAAACAAAAAGTTGTAACAGCTGGAACGTAGGTCTATCAAACTTTTTAAACAAAAATTTGTAACTGCTGGAATCTAGCTCTATAAAATCTTTTTAAATGAAAAGTTGTAACTGCTGGAATGCTCTATCAAATGTTTTTAAAGTTCTTGTGAAGGACTAAGCTTACTATTGGTATCAATGTTTTATTATTATATATATTTATATATATATTTATATATATATATATATATATATATATATATATATATATATATATATATATATATATATATATATATATATATATATATTATATTTATATATATATTATATATATATAAGCTTACTATTGGTATCAATGTTTTATTATTATATATATTTATTATTATATATATTATTATATATATTTATAAATATATTTATAAATATTTCAGAAAATATTTCAGCTATGTCAAACAAAACAAAAAACAAAGTGTAGGTCACTTAGTTCAAAAAAAAATGAGTATATTACAAAATTTGGTATTGCATATTAACAAAGTGTGGGCCATTAAGGTTAAACAAAGTGTGGGTATGTTTCAAAATTTGGTATGACAAAATTTGTCTATTTATTGTCTTTTTTACATCTTTTATTAAGTTATTAAACTTAATTAAAAAATTAATGCAAAATGGTCAAATGATTATTATTGTATACTGGGTTTTAAAGCACAATCATCAGTATCTAAAAAAAAATTCTTTAGAAAAAAAGTTCAGTCAGATATGTTAACTTACTTTTAAGATTTGTAAAAAAAGGCCTCAAACTTAACAAATGAGTACTGTAATGGTTTCAAATTTAATCCCTGTTAAATTTGTTGAAAAATAAAAAAGTGGAACCATTTTTATGATGGACATAAAATCTAAAAATCTTAAATAAAATAAAAAAAATCTTAAAAAATTGTAAAACCTTAAGAAATGGTAGTTACCTTTAAAAATGCTAAAATCTATACCCTTGATCCCTAGAATCAGTTCTAAGTTAGGAACAACTTTAAAACACACTACACTACCAGTTAATTCATATCCTAGCGTTCATAAAATTGAATTTGCAAATTGGCAAATGTTGAATTGGTAAAACAGGAATAAAGATATCATCTTGCATATGCCAAAGTATGCTTATGCAATGTATGCAAGCAAGTGCACAACAATGTAAAGGGGAAAATTCAGCTGTTGATAAGCATTTCAAAACTTTTCAAGGAAATTTCCACTGAAATGGTTGCAATTTGAAACAGAACAAGTACTTATAACAAGAATTTTTATTAGAAGTCACTGTTTAAAGGTTTTTTAACTATACCATAGCACACACGTACATATTGTCGTGTATTAGTTAGAGATGCAGGCAGTGAAAATGAATCTGCTCTTTTGTCTGAGACAGTACCAACATGGGTATATGATGTAGTTGTCAAAGTAAGATAGTTTCATAACAAGACTATGTATAATAACAAGACTATGTGTATGATTATGTTTTGTTGACTAAATATACAATTAAGTTTTGTTGAGGATATTTTAAATAAGATGATTTAGTTAAGTTTGAATACCTAACACTAACAACATTAAATTATTAAATAATTTTAAATAAAAACTTTTTCTCTATCATATCAAGTTTTTTAACCATAGAATCCTCATTTTTTTTTGAAAAGTATAAAAAATATTGTACTTATTAACAATATGTGATCGTTTTATATAAAAATTAAAAATATCAAAATGCAAGAAAAATACAGAGGAGGTAGTTGCATTAAAAGCATACAGATGGGTACAAGGAGGTCCTAAATCATTGGTTTTACTGTGTACATACTTTATGGCTCATTTATTATTATAGTTCTAACTATTGAAAAATTAGTTTTTAAAAAGAATTACAAAAATGGACTTTCATCTTAATATTTATTAAAAGTTAATTTTTTTTTTAAGTAACATTGTAATAACTAGTTGTAAATACTTTTTTTTTAGTTCAAAGCGAAAACAGATTCAGTAAGTCAGATAATTAGTTACATTAATTAAATATTAAATATATATTAACTACCCATGCAAGTAATCTTATAAGCAATCTTATAAGATTAGTATTAAAGAAGCTTTTAAGAAATGTTTCATTTTCAGAAAATTTTATTGCATTTTAGTCAATTATGGTGTTTTGTTGCTACAAGCTTTACTTGAAAAATGGCCTGAATCACATAGTGCAGCAGATACTGAAGTGGAGAAGGAAAATGAAGATGAAGGTTTTTTTAATTTTTATAAATTCTAAAGATTTTATTCTTTTATCATGCATATATGTTTTAATTAGTGTATATATATTTTACTTACTCATATATATTTTATTTAGTAATTACATTTTTTCAAATTTATTGTATTAGATTATTTTTGTACTATGTAGCCAATACATCGGAAGGTACTGTAACAACAAATGAGGTAAATTGTTGTCTATATGAAAAAATGTTAGTTAACTAAGACATTAAAAATATAGGTAATATATAAAACATTTTTTTAGAAGTCATCGTTTAAAGGATTTTTTACTATTCCATTGCATACACCTTTGGTTTTTGGAGAAGGTGGTGGCTGTGGTCGTACATATTGTCGTGTATTAGTTGGAGATGCAAGCAGTGAAAATGAATCTGCTCTTTTGTCTGAGACAGTACCAACATGGGTATATGATGTAGTTGTCAAAGTAAGATAATTTCATAACAAGACTGTGTGTAATAACAAGACTACGCGTATAATTATGTTTTTTTTACTACATGTATAATTAAGTTTTGTTGAGGAGATTTTAAATAAGATGATTTAGTTAAGTTTAAATACCTAACACTAACAACATTAAATTATTAAATATTTTTGAATAAAAACTTTTTCTCTTCCACCTCAAGTTTTTTAACCATAGAATCCTCATTTTTTTTGAAAATTATAAAAAATATTGTACTTATTAACAATATGTTTTATATAAAAATTACAAATATCAAAATGCATGAAAACAAGAAAAAAACAGACATGAATACAATGTTTATATAGCTCAATATTTTTAGAAAAGATCTAGCTAAAGTTATTATAATTATAAGTTATTAAAATTGTTATCAAGTAGTTAAGATAAAAACCTTTGTTTATAGATCTTCCTGAAGTGTTCAATTTCAGGAAGGCATCATGTTTGATGCTCTAACCAGTTGTCCTGAAGTGTTCAACTTTCTTTTAGAGTTTTTATTAAAAATACTGTTTTTTTAGTGAAAAAGCGCTGATTTCGGCAATATTACTTCTAAATTTTGCTGGGACGGGTGTTACCACTACTAAAATTTTTTCCTATAATAACCCCTGCCAACAATAATCAGCCATATTTACATCCCATCTACCATAATATTGTTCTTCCATAACCTTCAAATCTTAGTGAAATTGTTTACCTTGCTTTCCACTAACAGCACTAAAATTTTCCGCAAAGATGGCAATGCAGAAAATGTAGTTCAATACTCATGTTACAACCAAGTACTTTGTGGCTTGTAATAATATCTGAAATTTAGGCGTAATTACTTGCACATGTATTACCAAGAGAGTGAGATCTTGAGGTCTGACATCTTTCTCAAGGTTTGACATGGTTTAGTGAACTTCTCATCTTTTATAAGCTGCATTATTTATGGACCATCAAACACACCACTCTTGTTTTTTGAAAATCCAGGAAACTGTGAGATCATATACTTGAAACAGTCACCCCCAGTTATCAATACTTAGACATACGTTAGATGTGCAAAGGTAGGAATATTATTTTCTTCCTGTCAATAAGTGGCTAATTTAGAATGTTGGGATCTCTAGGAATATAATCTGATCTTTGAGGCTAAATTGTCTCTAACGCTTCTTTTCAGCTCTGCTATCCCATATACAAAAACAGCAGCTTTGTGTATCTATATAGCTGATACTTTGTGCGTCTATGTTGCTGGTCAACAAGAAAACACACTATTTTAAGGTCACCGCCGATGACCCTGTTGTGTTTGTTGTTATGAATTGCAATTAATTCAATGGATGTCTTTACATGTTTATGTTCTTCATGAAGAATAATCAAATGTCCAATAGGAACTGTACCATATAAATTGCCATTATGTAGAAAAATTTGTGATTTGAGCTATCAATAAAAAAATTCCATTTAACTAGATTGTAGGTTGAAAATCTTAATTCCTTCCGTAAACCAGGAATGTTTTTTTCAAAACACAATACTGCTGTTACTTTCATAGTAAATGTGCTTTCTCTAGTTCAAAAGTATAACACTCCTTTTTTAAGAAAGTTTTTCTAATATAGTATTGCTGCTAGGAATTTCAAATCTATATCATTGCTATCATCACATTCTCCAACATCAATCAGGTCTTCTACATAAGATAGTTGTTCGAAAACTAGCACTGGAATTGAAACAGAATGAGGCATTTGTCTAACAGCTAAAGATAGATTAGGATATTATATTTTACATTTATTTTTCTTGTTAAATTCTGATGTTTTTACTAAGCAAAAGTAACAGTTTATGCAATGAGATTTTGGCTTTCACTAAACCATGGGAATACCAAATATCACAAACTCTCAACACATGCGGTAGTGGTGTAGCGGTAGAGCGCTCGCTTCATAAACGAGTGGTTCCGAGTTCAATCCCCACCACGTTCCTGGTAGTATCGCGCTCAACTCGTTTCTCCGCGCAGCGGCCTTGTTCATCAAGGTTCGTGTTTCGGAGTTATAGAGTTGAGAGAGGGTTATAACCACAAATAAGTAGCCTCCTTGTCTGTAGTGGCCTTCTCGGCCTTGAGGAGGTGAATTGAAAAAAAAAAAAAAAAAAAAACATTGCTTGCATATTAGCGAGGGGGCCATTGCTAGTCTTGATCACCAAATTTTTCTTTGAAATATGCAAAATATGCTTGCTCTACAAATGTATTCATGTTTTACCTCTGACTTAAAATTATACAACAACCACAAAAAAAAAGAGTCAGGGTTGTTACATTACGATTTGAAGAAGTAGGAGCAGAAAGGATCTGAAATAATGATATATATTTCTAAACCTATGTAAGTAAAATACTTAGATGAATTAGTTATAAGCTTAGAAAACTGAAAAATACAGCATACAGTGAAATAAAACTTAATTATATTGGTTGTACTTACTATTTGGAAGCTGCAAACGATACTCCCCACACTTTTTAAATAACTGGATATCATAATCAATATAAACAAAGGTTTACTATAGCTAAACAATCGAATTTTCTTCATCTGTAGGTAAGCTGTACAGAAAGGCTTGGCGTACTAAAAAAAAACTTGCAAATCTGGAATCAACCTACCAATTTTAGCTGAAATCAGCATGAAATTATTTTCTATTGTTGTGTTTTTTTTTTAGAAAATTCAACCAAAGTTTAACAAGATAACATTTATGTTAGCACCTTTAAATAATGGATCTAAAAATAATAAAAGGTATTTTTATTTTTACCAAAATAACATTTGCGTAAGCACTTTTGAATCATGCAAAGGCTTGCGATACTGCTTTCAATACTAATGGTAGTACCTGTTTTTGGTTGCATAATAACTTTCTGTGTTACCTCTATTTGTTCTCTGAATACCAATAATAATAGAGGAATTTTTAATTTAAATCTATTGATAATTGCCATTACTTTTTTTTACTATATTTTTTACTATATTTTTTACTATATTACTATTTTTTACTATATTTCTTTATATATTTTTGTTTTAAATAATCTTATTTTAAAATTTTGTAATATGTATTTAATTATTAAATTAAAGTATGTTATTATATAAATTAATTTATTCCTCAAATGTGAATTTATTTGAACTAAAAGCACATTAGTCGTCTGTCAATATTATGAGTGATAGAAGTCACTGTCACTTTAATGTACTCATGTACAGCACAGTTAGTTTATTGTTGGGTATTCAGTAAGTGTTTTTTTTTGTGAGATATTTTGAAATATCTTTTATTCTCTCTAGATTTTTTCATTTTAGTTTGACACTTTTCACTTTAATTTGGCATTTCCTTATTTTAATTTGTCAATTTTAATTTGACCAATTTTTATTTTAATTTGGCATTAAAATTTGATCAGCCAAATTATTTCTAAAAATTTATTAAACTGAATTAAATAAATTCACTTGTTTTCATATTTAATAGTATATATACCTAGGACACTTTTTATACAATATTTTTTATACAAAGGTGTAGTACTTTATAGTTGTTGATAGTTGAGAAGGAATCGAGATGCTTGTCCTGTCGAAGGCTGAGATGATAGTCATCTTAGTTTGCTCTAATCATATTCACCTCTTTATTGTTTTCTGTGGTCTGGGCATCGTTTTTTATAAATGCACCAATGATAAAGCAATGTATTTTCCTCACTATTGTGTGGCCTAGTGAGTCGTCTTGTAGTATTTAGTTTTTTGATTCCGTCGCGTTCATCATAAAAGTCGAGTATTGTTATTAGCCTTTCTCTATTTTTTGATAAGTATAAAAAGTTAAAATTACACTGTTAGAACAGTATAATTTAAAATGTCACTTTGATGCTCTTTTTACATGTGGGCAACTGTTGTTAATGTGCTGACCAAGTTGAGGTCTTTATATATCCTGTGGCTGAAGTTTAAGTTGCTCTAGATTGACATGGACGAGCATTCTAGTTTTATAATGCTTTACTTTGTAAGACCAAAAATTTATTTTTGTCTTGTGGACAATTAAAGCAACTCAGGAGTATTGATTACCAACAGGTTATCTAGTTTGGCACCATTCAGTGAATGTTGATTGTGTACTCAGAATTTGAGATTTTTGACAATATATATTTTTAGTGGTAGCAGTGGATCGGAGATTAGGTGTGTTAATGCAGGATTATTGAGCTTTAGGGTTGAGCCATGCTTGTCATGGTTGGTATATGCAGTGGTTGAAGCAGAGTTTGTAACAGTGTTGTTGTTGTTAACCGTGTTGTTGTTGTTAACAGTGTTGCTGTTGCAGTGGCTAATTTGATTTTGTTGAATTTTAGAGTTGAAACACACTTCTTAATGTTACTAGATTATTCAACGCCAATGCATTGCACAGATCCAGTAAGACTGTGGGTAATCCAGCAAAAGTCCAATTTATCCTTTAAAAGTTCTTTGTTTTTCTTTTTTTTCTTGGTAAATAGGCTATTAATGGGTTCTTGTTTGGCTGGAGTATTGATATCGAGTACAACTTAACAAATGTTTGACTAAAGCGAAGTCGAACTTTGATATGAGGTATTAGCTGAGTTATGGAGATTTTTATTAAGTATAAACTTAAGTATAAACATTAAATATACATTATACTAACAAAAATGTTTCAATAAAAAAAGTTACTTATTGTATTCACTATGTACACTATATTGTATTGTTAAACTTTTTTCAAAGATAACTTTGAAAAAAGTTTAACAACACAATATAGTGTACATGGCCTTCTTTTTATTGGTAATAATGTCTAAAAGCAAGAGTTCTTTTATTAAGAAATTTGTTAAAACTTTGAAATAATGTTTTTTTAATGTTATTTTATTAAGATTTATTTTGTAGCAATTTTGTTATAGCACTATTTTATGTCTGATACATTTTATCTCTTCTATTTTGGTCTAGTTACTATTCTATTCAGATCTAACTATTCAGAACCAAATACAACCAAAAAGTATTACTACTTACTGGCTACTTTTGTTTATGTTTTATATAGAATAACTTCTAAAAATAAAAGTTTTAAGTTATTTTTAATTCTTAATTTCCCATAAGAGTAGTTCTAGTTAGAGAGCATATATGCTCAGAGTGCGGATATACCGTAAACGGCAGTCATGTTTTTGTCAAATTAGATGAATTTAAGTAAAAACAGATAAATTTAAGTAAAAACAGTTGTAAAGCACAATGTTTGAAACAAAACCTTTTTTTGAAAATTTAAATATTTTATGTTTTGTTTTTCCAGTTTTTAATAAGATTATTTATTAACAAAAATTTATTTGACAAGTAAATAAATTCTTTCAAAAAACCATCAAAAAATGACAGCATGATTGCATTGCAATGCAATGCAATCTTGTTGCAGTGTTCAAAATATTATTATTAACTTCATTTTTTTATTTCTTAAGACTAAATGTTTCAGGTCTAAATTATTTAAATTTGTTTTCAAGCTCGAAATCGAAAACAAATTTGAAAAACTTGTTTTCTATTCAAATTATTGAGAATTCGGATAAAAGCTAAATTTTCATTTGTTTATCAGTTTTAATTTGTTCATCAATTAACTTTCTCCTTTACGAAAAACGTTCTAAAATGATCTAAATCTTAATTCCTTTTTTAAAAAAAAAGAAAATTTTGTTTCATGAACGAAAAATAACCTTCTTACTTTTGTTCCTTTCTGTTTGTATGGAACAAACATTTTATACTCAGAATTTACTCTGTTTTTTGAAAATTGAGTTTTATAATAAATTAGAAACATTCTTTAAATTATTTTAACTCTCAAAGTTGTATATATCCTGCATTATAAAAAAATAGTTTTGCTCAGCATTACTCAAGATTAAACTAGATTTTTTATCCAAAATTTGACGTTTTATCCAAATCTATAAGTAAAATAATGTGCTCTGTTTATATATATATATATTTTTGAATTCTAGCTTCAATTATGAAAGGTTTGTTAAATAAGAGAGATGTTCTTGTATTCTTCGATAAATGTAGCACATTTGTTAAAAATATGAATAGAACAACTTGAGTCACATGGATGTTTATTTAAACTAGAAAAATTATAAAAATCACTTAAAGTACAGCTTATGTTAAAAGATCTGTAATTGACTGGTTATTTGCACCTTTATAAACAGAACTTTCACTATAATAATATGTTACAGATTTATTTTCATCTTGTAGATATTCATCTAAGCATAAAAACTACGTATAGTTAGCTTGGCCACAATGTTAAAGTTTCACAATTCCATAGTATGAGTTATTGACATTTTTATTGACATGAATTATTGACATTCCAAGGTGTTAAGGTTTAACAATCCCTTAGTATGAGTTATTGACATTTTATGAAGAACTAAAGCTCTTTTTTTTTCATGAATTTCTATTACATTCACATTAATTTTTATAAACTTTTAAAAATATTTAACTAAATTTTAATAACAAGTTCACTTGCACTTAGTTTTTTTTTTTTGGCAAAAACATGGTGTCAAAAACCATAAAAATTGAATATCCAATCAAATACGATCACATGTATGTCCGCTCTCTGAGTGTATAGGCTCTCTAATTTGAATTAACCAAAGAAGATTGCTAAAAAGGGACTTAGAAAAAAGGAAACCTCAGATAACTCAAACAAAGTTTGAGTTAACAAGGTTTGACTTAACCGATATTTTTAATAGTAATGAGTAAGACGAATTCAAGAGACCAAATGAAACATTTGGGAATAACAAAAGTTTTAGTTAACCAATATTTGTCTTAGCTGTATATATTTGTGTTTATATATATATATATATATATATATATATATATATATATATATATATATATATATATATATATATATATATATATATATATATATATATATATATATATATATATATATATATATATATATATATATATATATATATATATATATATATCTTAGGCTGTCATCTATACTTTCAAAACTATTTAACAAGTGGTTATCAGATTCTTGTTTTCCAGCCTGCTGGAAAGCAGCATTATTTTCAAAACTTCTGGGGAGCAATCTGATTTATCTAACTACTTTCCCATTAGTTTTCTTACTATCATGAGCAAAGTTTTCCAGTCTTTAATTAACAAACACTTAACCTCTCATTTTTAATCTATTTACTTACTTCAATATGGATTTCGAATTTCACATTCTACAACTGATTTGCTAAAAATAGTGACTGATAGGTTTTATTGTGCATAAGAGGTAGGGAGGTTTAGGCTATCACTGTCAACATTTCTAAAGCCTTTGACAAAGTTGGCATGCTGTTTTTTTCCATAGACTCTTTCTTCCTATGGTGTATCAGGTAACATCTTTAAGATTATTAAATCCTTCCTTACCGATTTTAGTATATAAGCTGTCCAAGATGGATGGCACTCTTCTTCATTTCCTGTAATTTCAGGACTTCCTCCAGGTTCTATCTTTAACTCTTAACTTTTTTTTTTAATTTACATTAAAGATCTCCCAGAATGAAAATTTTTTATCATACGAAAAGCATCTGCACAAACAAGATATATATATATATATATATATATATATATATATATATATATATATATATATATATATATATATATATATATATATATATATATATATATATATATATATATATATATATATATATATATATATATATATATATATATATATATATTAGGGGTGTTCAAATTTTACAAATTTTTTATTTGGAACATGTATGCAAGCTAAAAAGATGTGTAATCGTGAGTGGAATTAAGATAATATTTTGATT